CCCACGAGCTCGGGGATCCCACGTTAAACCGGCCTTGTGCCACATGATGCCCTCGTGGTGGTGGTTGTGGGGTGGGGGTAACTAAATACCGTCGCTCAGTGGGTCGGGTCAGTCAGTCGATACCGGACGACCGTTAGTCGGATACTAAAGTATCAGCAACCACAACTAGATTTCTCTGCGTCATTATATATTATATCAAGTCCCTAACGTTTTCTACGTCGAACCTATTTTAGGACCGACTTAGTACAAATACAAGCCTCCACTGTGAAACCACTCTACAACATTACCTTTCTTCAGGTGTCCGTTGTACAACACACGTTTGTACTGTCTAATAAACATATTAACAAACTTCAAATAAACGCATGAACGCAATTAAAAATAACAATAAATAATAATAATCAACAACAAATAATCAATAATAAATTATGAGTAAACAGGATAATATAATAGACTTTCTACCAATAATTCCCAATTGGCCAGTATATCGAGTGTAACAGCAAAATTGTCCAAATCATGTAACAACATAATTATCCATTCCACAAAATATGTAATATCTAAAAAACAAAAATGCACAAAACAAACAGAATTTCTTTTTTCCAGGTTTTCAGACATGACGTTTAGCCATCTTGCCATCACACACACACACACACACACACACACACACACACACACACCGGGTGTAACAGCAAAATAGTCCGAATCGTGTAACAGCATAATTATCTATTCCACAAAATGTTTAATATCTAAAAAATGCATAAAACTAATAGATTTTCTTTTTTCCAGGTTTTCAGACATGACGTTTAGCCATCTTGACACTATTTGTCGTGTGAATCAGTGAAAAACCCTTTGATTTATTCAGCTAAAAAGAGAACTGGTTAAAATCGTTTTATGTCAGCCAAACAGTCCTCGCAAATTAGCAACATTGAGAGGGAAAAGATCATTCAGGCCTTAAGTAATGATACCATCATTCGTATTATGGCTTCTATCTTCAAAGTACATTCAAGAATCATCAAGAGAACGGTTAATATTTTTGAAAAAGAGGGAAAGCATTATAATTGCCCACTTGTTAGATTAACCTTTGAAGAGTTGTGGCTTCGAAATGATTAGAGATATCTTATTGGAATTCTTCGAGGTTTTTATGATAATGTTGGACTCTACTTTGAGTATTAGGAATGTATAATTACTCTTAAAAACAACAGAAGAATCGTGATGAAATCAGGCGTAAACGCTCATGATATATATATATATATATATATATATATATATATATATATATATATATATATATATATATAAAGAAAGAACAGTAAGATATATAATCCGGTGTTCTTATAGATATTTTTATTTTTACAAAATAGTGCTCAATGTAAATTTACAGAGCATTAATATTATAAATTGATTTATTTGTAATATGTTTTTTCGCTACACAGTTCTAACCATGTTTCAAAAATGTAAGCTACCAAAACGTAACTAATAACGGATACATCAATAACAGACATAATGAACACACAGACACCCCTTGTCTAGCTGAAGTAGATTTATCTGTAACCTTGGAAAGGTGAATTATGATTTTAGCTGTGTCTTTAAAACCCAGTAATTTTAAAAGTTACTCCAAAATTCGCTTGAGGATGAAATGGAACTAATGTCTTTAATTTAATTACAAAATTAAATTCGTAGCTTTTTCGAATTTTTTGAAAAATGGTTAGAACTGTGTAGCGAAAAAAACATATTTTAAATAAATCAATATATATATATATATATTCCAGGATCATTTTCCAACTTATTCAACATGATCTTCGCCCTCTCTAACCTTCTAACTTTCTGTCCTGGCGTAACAATTTGACTCACACGTTTCACGTACGATTTCATTTTCAAGTGTTTTTTTTTCCACTACGCTTTGGACTGTCGTAGCTGAAATTCCTCTCTCTTGTCCCAAACTTCTTATAAATTGAATCTTTTCTAATTGATCTCTTTAGCTCTAAGTTGAAATGATGATCCCTCTTCCTGTTGTGATCTCCTGATTCAGTTTTCATCTTTACTGTTTCCTCTTAGACTTATTCACCGTTCCCTTGATGCTTCTTCAATTGACTTTTTTGTCTTTTATTCTGACCCAAGCTTTTCCATTTATGATTTCCACACTTATTATTTCAATCATTTCACCCCAAGGAATTCGCTTAAACCACTAGGACGCAAGCGTGTTACTGAGAAGACTTTATGACGAATCGGAAACCCAATCCTAAACATCAAAGAAAGAATATACCTTTCCTTTATTCCTCTTTTAAAGATTGGGAAGGTGAGCAAACCACACACACACAAACACACACACACACACATATGTATATATATATATATATATATATATATATATATATATATATATATACAAAGAAATTATCAAAGAATCAATCAGCAATATTAATGCTATTATTGGCGACATCCATCGCTAGTAGTGTATAATGTATGCATTAAAACACTGTTAATCCATAGAGTGACGTGATCCTCATCTATAAAACTGTTGTCTGTTGTTTTCAGTTTATATTTTTTTAAATGCAAGTTCTTTCGAATAATCCTTTATTCATCGTCAGGCATATGTTTTCCTTAAAATATATATAATTATATTATATTATAATTATATTATTATATAATTATATGCTGCCTAATGTTTTATGTTTATATATGTATATAAATAATAATCGACTTTCCCGTCGAGATTCGACGTATGAGTGTCAAGCAGATCAGTTTCCAGGAAACCGGCAGCCCGACACCGGCACATGAGATTTGATTTTAGTGGTGAAGGCTTCGTCCAGGACCATCCACACATTTTGAAGGGACGAATAAAGAGACCTGGTGCACCGAATGCCACAAGGTTCCCAAATTACCCTCCGCAGGTTTTGAATTCAGAGTTGTCCTTCTCCTAGACCAGTTGCCATCCAAGGCTATAGAACCCAGCCTGTCCTGCTATTTTACCCATAGGGAGAGGAAGAGGATTCATACATTTCCCAAGGGTATTAGCACGTAAGTGAATGTAATGGATTCGACTGGAATTCGAACTCGGCTCTGCGATTCCTCAATCCAAGCCGCTATCCATTACTCCACTGTGTCTCATATATATATATATGTGACGTCACACATTGTGAAATGGACAAAGTCCAACAATTATTTGAAGACATTTTTTTATGTTTATACGTTCTTTTTTTTATAGATACAAATATTTAAATAATGCTCTGTTTATAATAAACAGTATTAATAACATTTACCGGCCTGAATGCCCGAGAAATTATAATAGAAAATATGCGTCAGTAAATTCGACTTTGCTGACCGAAACGCTCCTCTGTGGCTCAATCTGTAAAAGCACGTCAGGCTATATGACGATTCCGTATAGGATACTGGTTCGATTTCTGTCGGAGGACGAATATTTTCTATGAAAATTTCTCGGACATTCAGGCCGGTAAATATTGTTAATACTGTTTATTATAAACAGAGCATTTACTTAAATATTTGTATCTATAAAAAGAACATATAAATATACAAATGTTTATATATATATATATATATATATATATATATATATATATATAAAATTTAATTAAAAACAGAAAACCCTAAGGTCCATTGATTATATTTTATTTCCCCAGGAAGGTGTTTTTTTCCTGGTTCTTCAGATCATATTTCCAAGCATAAAAATGGTTTTAAATCCCCGTATTATTTTTGTAGACTTTTGTGGGGTAGTTTTAAGTTGATCTCAGGTGATACAGAGAGGTGGAGGGAAACTACTCCTCAAAAATGTCTAAGAATAATACGTGAATTTAAAACCATTTTTATGCTTGGAAATGTGATCTGAAGAACCAGGAAAAACCCAACAAGATGCTGTGACGAAGTAATTATGTAAAGAAATAACAAAATAAGTGTTGCAGATATATCATATACTTAACAGTAAATACCACAGAAGAGTATTACACGACTAGTGAGTGTGTGTCGGTTTACCCAGCGTTCAATCTATTCGACTGTTAATACTTAACAGACCCCCGCGAGGGATGTATGTGGCACAAGCCCGATTTTTCTGTGGGTTCTCCGAGCCTGTAGGCTCGGCCAAAAATATTCCCGTAAAACGGGTTCGAGCCTATCTACCTGCCCGGATGAGACCTTGCCCTTCGGCAAAGCATCGTCCGGGGTCCTTTTTGCTCAAGGCAGAGACTTTGACAGTTATGAACAATCTATTCGACTTTTCCCCTCAAGACCTTCTCTCCTACTAATCTTATAGTAGGCAGAAGAGTCCAACATAGGCTTTTTAGAAGGAGGACACCACAACAGGTACTATGAGATGTAAGGCATGCTAGGGACACTTGACGTGTGTTTATACCTGGATCGTCTCCTACAGTCTGCAGAAATTCTTCTTCGTCCTCATGCGTACGACCCATTCAGGTTCTTCCTCGATCCTTAGTTTGTGGTGCTACGGATTCTGTCTAAGCAAAACAGCATCAAATAAATAGCACCTAATGTTGGATGACTCGGCGGTCTTCGATCTGGAAAAGGAACTTGATACATCCGTGCAGCATCGTGTCCATTAATCTCTGCGAGGCTGCTCATTATATGAATATTCTGCTTTTCTTAAACGGAACACTTCTCCTGTTAACTCACTACTACACATGTTATACGTTGCAGACTGTCTAGCCAAAAATGTATACGAATGACAAATGTAACCTAGTCTACATGGGAACACAGCGTTTCATTAAACTTAATACCTGAAATACGAAGGATTTGGGTATATATGAACTTTTATCTTTGTTCGGTGTGAGGAACGCGCCCCAATGTAATTTTGATACACCCTATATATATATATATATATATATATATATATATATACTACCAGAAAGCAGAAATATTTCTTCTCCTGATGATGCTCATTTTGGCCGAAACTAGTCGAGGAATCTAAATGAAATAATAATAAAAAAACGAAAGAATATTCTACAACCCAGTGTGTCTGAAGATTTTAATTTTTTTTATTGTTCAAAGTGTAGATAGATAGATAGATAGATAGATAGATAGATAGATAGATAGATATGAAAACACTGAGGCAGATGGATAGATGGACAAGCAGGATGAAAAGTGTGGGATAGATAGATATGAATATACTGACATAGATAGATAGATAGATAGATGGATAGATAGATAGATAGATAAAAAAGAAAGGAAAAACGAAATAAATGAAGATATATAGATACATACATATATGTCTAGAAAGAAAGAAAGAAGGAAAAAAGAAAGAAGGAAAAAAGAAAGAAAGAAAAAATGAAACACGGAAGTAAAGAAACAAGGACAAATAGATAGATAGATAGATAGATAGATATGACAATAATGAGATAGATAGATAGATAGATAGATAGATAGATAGATAGATATATGTGTATGTATTTATGATTAAAATCCACCAAAAAAGTTTCCCTATTCCCGAATGTTTTTGACATGAGGTTTATATTGAATCAATTGGTAGGTCTTCTGCAAGGGAAGTTTGTTAACTCTTTCGTTCTCTCCAGAATCTAACATATTTATGAGTCTACAATTCTTCCTTGGCATTTCATACTGTCGCAACATCTGGTCTGGTGCTGCTACTCTATATTGCAGATTCTTCATAAAATCGAAAGAATCTGCAGTGTTATTGGTCCTGGTCTGGCATCTCGTCCACCGTCACTTTCTCATCGCCATTACCTAGTTTCCCCTGCGTTTTCTATAAATATTTTCATGGTAATTCTTCTGATAACTTTTGCTGTTTGATACCCAAACAGTATGAATTTCAGCGCAGTACTACATTGGCGACTAGGTCTCATAATTTTACTGTTGAAATATTTAGATGTAACCGTAAGCTGTATTCGAACACTTTCTTCAATCGCACTTCTCCTTAAATACAATGTCAATAAACTTTAGGATTTCCACGTCATCGTTTCCGCTGTCTGATAATTTTTTTTTAAATCATTTCACGCCAAGCAAGTCGATAATGACACAAGAACGCAGATGGGCTACAGGGTGTGAAAGTGAAAGATAATAAAAAGACTGGTGAGTGGTTTGAGGAAAGGACAACAAATATAACAGGGTAAAGAACACAAAAAATGCTGATTGACATTGCATTTAAAATGTTAAAGTTTGTAATTATCCGGGAAGCAAGAAATCGGAAAGGAGTTTCACAAGTTGGAAAAAAAACTGTTAGAGTAAAAGTAACGGTTACATCTAGGTAGTTCAACAGTAAAACGATGAGACCTAACTGCCAATCTAGTAAAACGCTTAAATTCATGTAGTCGAGAACTCAGAGAAGAAGGCTCCTGCCATGAAAATATTTGTAAAAAAGACGGAAGAGAGCCACGTCACGTCGGTGAGAATGTCGAGGTGTGTGATAAGGGTCGATATGATTCCAGACCCTTTTTTGTATTCCTCAAGAATCTTGAGATATACAGCAGGAGCATAAGACTACATATGACAAACGATTTCGAATTCCAACCGAGTTCGTTATGTTCATTTACCCCACAAAACGTATGAATCCATCCCTTCTCCTCCTAACTATGGGTTAAACAGTAATAGCGACGCAGACCGTGTCTTATAGCTTTGAGTGGCAACCACTCTAACGTAGAAAGAAATGGCATTGTGCCCAGACAGTCATGAATCAAAAAAGTCATGATCACCCAACCGTGTATCACGTATGTTACTTGACTTTTTATTTTTACATTTACTGATCGCGGCCGCATAGGACAAGTTTCGCAAACGCACCGTGTCCATATTTGCTAATGACATGGCTGGAAAGTGTAGACGAGAAAAAATTATCTTATCTATTAATTTCTGATTAAGTGCAAGTTCAACATTTTGGTAAGAAAAATTGTAACTTTTAATGCTGAGTGAATTAGGCTTAATTGGATGCAAGTTCATAAAATAGCTTGCCAACAATCTTGATGATTTCATAACTTTTTTTTTTCTGAACAATGAATATTCAGAAAGGTTTTTTGCGCTCTATGCTGTAAATAAAACCGAAACAGCTTTTAGAAGAATATATTATATAACCATCGTACCAACATAGGATATGCAGATAAAAGACACAGAAATGAGACTAAAAGAATGGCTACAAAATGTAGTGAGGGAAAGGCAGAAGAAAGGACTAAGCATCAATTGTATGAAGACAGAATACATGAATTGTCAGTAAAGAAATATTAAAAATCTGAACTCCTCTACATCGAGTGGCTTTTGAGACGTTTATAGGGTGCACATGATTGTACAAAATTAACATGTATAAAACTTGAACAAATGGGAAAGTTTTAATGTAGAATCCAAACTAGAAAATAGAATTTTTTTCAAAAGACTCAGTAGAAGACAATTTGAAGGTTTATAAGACATAATGATGAATTTAATACTCACAAGGGAAAGAACGAGTAATCGACATTTTTAATCATTTCACCACAAGCAAGGCAACAAAGCCACTAAGGTGCAAGTCGTTACTAAGTGTGAAAGAATATGAGATAAAAAAAACATTATTAAAATGTGAGTACAATAACAGAACAGAAATTAAAAATACAAAAGATAAAGATTGACATTGCATTTGATTCTTTTAAAAAGCAATAAACAGGAAAGAAAGTTCACAAGCAAGAAGTGCGAGAGAAGAAACTGTTAGCATAGAACTTGCGGTTACATCTAGCGAAGTCAACTTTAAAATGATGAGACCTTATTGCCAATCGAGTACTGCGCTTAAATTCATAAATTTAGCAAACATAGTGAAGAGCTCAGTTGAACAATAACCATGAATGTATTTATAGAAAAGACACATGGAAGCTGGTTTTTGTCAGTAAGAAATTGACGGAAGTTGAGATGACAAGTCAGGACCAATAATTCTGATTCTTCTTTGGAATTTTAATCTCTAAATATATAGCAGCCATTTCAACAGTAAATTGTTGAGAACTTGCCACCAGTCTAATATAGCGCTTCAGTCCATAATGTCTAGGTACCATGAAGCAAAGTTGATCAGAACAGTTACCATAATAGGATTTATAGAATAAGCTGGGTGATGCTCGATTATAGCGGTGTTAATGGGACTAAAGACGATAATCAAACCCTATAAATTGTACCTTTCCAATATCCTTACGGCCGGCGTTTTTTACTCTTATAAAAAAAAAGTGGTTTTAGACATAGAATAATATTATTCTAATTTAGATTTATAATTATTATTTTATTTCAAGGCGATATTTTGTAACTGTGCATAATACGCACCCCTGATTTTGCTCATTATTTTTATTAGAAAAATGCGTATTATATAAGGGAAATTACGTTAATCGACATTTTTTAATCATTTCATCCCAATTAAGGCAACAAAACCACTAAGACAAAAATGGTTACTGAATGTGGAAGATGATAAAAAGAAAAACAGGTGGGAGAATAAAAGAACAGAAATTAAAACGACAGAAGATAAAGAATGATAATTATTATTTCATTTCCCCACAAGTAAGGCAACAAAGCCACTAAGGCGTAATGGTTTACTGAGTGTGGAAGAAGATGAGAAAAAGAAAAACATTATTAATTTGTAAGGACAATAAAAGAACAGATATTATAACGACAGAATATAAAGAATGGCATCGCATTTGAAATATTTTAAATCAAACTTGACTGGAAAGCAATAAAGCGGAAGGAAATTTCATAAGTAAGAATTGCGAGAGAAGAAACTGTTAGCATAGAACATACGGTTACATCTAGCGAGGTCAACTGTAAAAGGATGAGACCTTATTGCCAATCGAGTACTGCGCTTAAATTCATAAAGTTTAGCTACCATATTGAAGAGCGATATTTATTTCTGCTTCAAATAAAGAAAAGGTAAAAAATGGGGAATAGGACGGTCTTCTGTCTTAATATTAAGCTTATCTAGCCCCAAACACTGGCCCAAACACACAACAATGTTCTTTACAGTAAAGCAACACATTCTTACTTTTTTACTGCATCCACCATAATACCGCATTGTCTCTATGAAAATCTTAAGTAGTCCCCATATGTACAAATCATTATTTGTTGGGGGAGGGGAATAAAACAACAATTTTACAAAAAAGCCCCATTGAGTATTTACAATATGAATATAAATCAATTTACAAGAAACTAAACAAAATAACGAAGAAATATTGAAGAACTAATCCGAATCCGAACAATGACCATGAAAGTATTTATAGAAATGACTCAGGGACAGATTTCCGTGTTTTTTATTAATAAACTTTAAATATATAACAGCCATTTCAACATTAAAATTAAGAGAACATGGCGCCAGTCTAATACAACGCTTAACTTCATAACGTATGGGACCTTACCCATAATAACATAATGAACTAGCCCATACGTAATAAATATTGCGGCTCATGAGGAAGCAGGGAGTTCAATCCGTTTATACGGGTTCAAAGGGCATATTTTAGGCCGATCCCACGCGCTCGGGGATCCCACGTTAAACCGGCCTTGTGCCACATGGTGCCCTCCTGGGTGGGGGTGACTAAATACTGTTCAGTCCGAAATCGGGCGACCGGCTGACCGGCTGATCGGTTGAACTTCGGGCTACGCCAAAGGCCGGAGTCTCTTTCGGGGAGTAAACCGACCCTGAACCCGTTTATACGGGTTCAAAGGGCATATTTTTGGCCGAGCCCACGGGCTCGGAGATCCCACATTTAACCGGCATTGTGCCCCACGATGCCCTTGTTTGTGACTAAATACTGTTCCGTCTTAAGTCTGGAGTGAGGTCCGTCAGGAGTCTGTCAGTCAGTCAGAGCGAGCGAGTCAGTCAGTCGAGTCAGAGTCAGTCCGAAACAGAGTCGCGTTCAGACAATTACTACTAAACCTGATTGTTTCGTACTAACACTTTCTACTTCTCTGTATATATTCCTGTTTGTAATATATCTGCGTTATTCCATATCCGTATTCGAGTTCTTCTTTATGGGTTCTACGTTGGACTATCACCGTGGTACGAGGAACCGGATCATAACAATAACATTATTAAAAGGAGCGAAACACCGACAGACAGACAGATTGTTCTCGCCATCGAGTCGTCCAAAACTATCACTGATTCCAGCTGTAGATGTTTAGACAAGCCGGAAAACTGAAATCATTTTTGAAGAACAAAGTTAACTAGAACGCAAATAGCCAGAAAAGACTTCCACAAGCGAGAACATAGAACTTGCAACTATATCTAGCAATTTCAACTGTAAAATGATAAGACATTCGGCACATGTAGGATTGCGATTTTAATTCAAAAAATCTAGGTACGGTTGAGGAAATTTTGTCAGAGAATCTACCATGGAGGTATTTACAAGAAATGCACATTAAGGCGGTTGGGAAATGACTGAGCCTAGATGCCAAGTCGCTACCAATAACATTCCTGATTATTCTGTGGATTTTATCAAGAATATCCAAAGGCATAGAAAAAGAACCAGACAACACCTGAGAGCAATATTTTATGTATGGGCAAATGGATAAAAAAAATTACGGGAAAAATTGCCTAGCATGTCACAGAGTACCAACATTTCTAAAAGCAAACGCAGGAATTAATTTAATAGAATCTTTTCATTTCAGCAGAAAAAGTTCGCTGAAGAAGGCGCAATGGGTTACGCTACCGGAAGTCAGAATCTGCCAATTAAAAGAAGGCAATTTCATTTTGCATGTGTTGATTTGAACAGGAGTAGAGGTTCATCCCTTGTTTCCTATTTAGGACTGGGTTTGCAGTTCCGTCTAAAGTATACATCCCACTTTATCCATGTAACGTCTCCGATTTTTTTTTAACCGGGATCACCCCATCATTCATGTGCCAGGCGTGATACACGCTTAGGCGATCATCTATCTTTCGATACATGATTGAAAAAGCAGATTTTTTTCCGTAGTAGGTTGCCATTTCTTTCTGCAGGAGACTAGTTGACATCCGAAACTATAGAACCCCATCTCTCCTGCTATTTACATATAGCTGTGGGGGGGGATAAGAAGAGAATTCATAACTTTCCCAAAGGTCAGTTATGTGCCAGGCGTGATACACGCTTAGGCGATGATGTATCTTTCGATACATGACTGATGACGGAGATATTTCCCGCAGTAGGTTGTCATTTCTTTCTGCGGTAGACCACTTGCCATCCAAGGGTATAGAACCCCGCCTGTCCTGCTATTTGCCCATAGCTTGTAGGAGGAGAAGAAAAGGACTCATACCTTTCCCAACCCAAGGGTATTAGCACGTAAGTGAATGTAATGGATTCGACTAGAAAGTCAGTCAGTTATATGCCATGCATGATACACGCTTACGCGATCATCTATTTTTCGATACATAACTGACGAGGCAGATTTTTCCCCATTACTTTTTGCGGGAGACCAGTTGCCATCCAAGTCTATAGAACTTGATCTGTCCTGCTATTTGCCCATAGCTAGGGGGAGGGGAAGAAGAAGAGGATTCATACCTTTCCCAAGGGTCAGTAAGTCATGATACCTGAATGATAGCGGAGATTTTTTCCCGCAGTAGGTAGCCATTTCTTTCTGCGGTAGACCAGTTGCCATCCTAGACTATAGAACCCGATCTGCCTTGCTATTTACCCATAGCTAGGTGAGAGAGAAGAAGAGGACTCATGCCTTTCCCAAGGGTATTAACACGTAAGTGAATGTAATGGATTCGACTTGAATTCGAACTCGGCTCTCCGATTCCTCAGTCCCAGCCTGTGCAAGGTAGTAAAGTCACTAAGACACAAGGGTTTACTGAGTGCTGAAAAATTAGTAATTAATAATGAGCGGGAAGAGGAAAGATTAATCAGGAGTACAGTAGATAGTGATTGATATTGCATTTAAATTTTTGCAGATTAAAATTGGCTGGAATGCATCAAGCCGGAGGCATGGCTTCACAAGCGAGAAGGAAATATTTTTTTAGCATAGAATTTGAGGTTGTGTCTCGCCAGCTGAACCGTGGTTTGATGAGATCTCGGCACCAATCTAGTACTGCGCTTATATTCAATAGATCTTGGTATGAGAGCAAAGATCGATATTTATTTGTAACTTAGGAAGGGGGAGGAAGACGACCGTCTTCTCTTTAAACGTTAAACTTAGCTAGCCACAAACACTGACCCAAACATACAATATTCCTTACACCAAAACAGCGCATTCTTACTTACTTTTCTTACTACATCCATCACAATACCTCGTTGTCTCTGTTAGGGCCAGAAATAAAGACACAAAGAGAGGAACTGAGTTAAACAAATATATTAACAGAAACAGTAATGCAAACATATACAAACGAGAGTTTTACAGCAAGAATGTTCGGTCTGACTGTCAGAGCTGACTGCTGGAAACATTCCTGTAAAAAGGCAGTACCTGCTCCTATTTACAGCTGGTAGAGCCCATGCAAGCGTGGGTAAATTATGATAGCAGTCTCCATGAAAGTCTTAACTAAACCCCATATGTAGAATTCATTGTACCACAGGGAAAAGATAACCCGAACAATTACCATGAAAGTATTTATAAAAATGACACAGAGAAGTAACGTTACGGTGATGTTGAACGTGACTGGAGACGAACCACCTGATCAGAACCAATAATATATATAATATTGCTGATTCTTCTTTGGAATTTATCAAGGAGCTCAAGGTAAATAGCAAAGGCATCGGAACATATATTGCAGTAATATTCTAAGCATGGATGACGGGGATAAAATTAACAGCTGACCTAGTAATGAACTCAATATAGTCTTTGCAATTCATGTCAGAAAGGGCAAAGGGAGGCAACCATACGACGGTGAGAAAGTCAGTGCAGCCAAGCCGCCAGATCAGGACCAATAATATTGCTGTTTTTTTTTTGGGGGGGGGGGGTATCAAGGAGCTCAAAGTAAATAGCAGGAGCACCGGGACATATATTGCAGTAATATTCTAAGCATGGATGACGGAGAGAAAATTAACAGCTGACCTAGCAATGAATTCAATATAGTCTTTCAAATTCATGTCAGAAAAGGCAAAAGGAGGCAACCATACGATGGTGAGAAAGTGACTGAAGCCAAGCTGCCAGATCAGGACCAATAATATTGCTGATTCTTCGTTGGATTTTATTAAGGATCTCAAGGTAAATTGCAGGCACACCGGAACATATATGGCAGCAATATTCTAAGCATGGACGAACGGTAGATATAAATATATAAGATAGATGCCGGAGAGAAAATTAACAGATGACCTAGCAATGAATTCAATATAGTCTTTGCAATTCATGTCAGAAAAGGCAAAGGGAGGCAACCATACGACGGTGAGAAAGTGAGTGAAGCCGAGCCGCCAGATCAGGACCAATAATATTGCTGATTCTTCTTTGGATTTTATCGAGAAGCTCAAGGTAAACAACACGGGCACCGGAACATATGTGGCAGCAATATTCTAAGCATTGTAGACTTATAGATATAACCTCTCAAATGACATTAAATTAATTCGTTTCTCCAGCTAGCCCCAAGTACTTTACATCATTACCTTACTTATACAATATCACTCAGTAAGCCTGTACTAGAGTCGATTTGAGTCTTGTATTTGGCGAACATTAATAATAGAAAAGAGGTCAGTTTTGTTTTGGATATTTTTTAGAAGAACGACGAGCATTTTTCGTTCAAATCGAAAATCTGCAATTTTAACAGGAATAGGAGTCCCCACGTGATATCAATCTGCGATAGAAGATTAACATATTTCGATATTTTTCAGAATCAGTCACTTTCAATAAAGAGTGAATGATCTCTGTAACCAGACGCAGGGGAAAAAAAAAAGTTCTGAAAATACAGGAGACATACTTCCTGTTACCAGATTTCCGTGTCTCATCTCACGTAATTCGGAAACAAAATATACTGTAAAGAATCGGGCAGGCGGGGAACTTTCTTACTGTGTGGAAACACTTAGAGAGGAAATCACGTTTGGAATAATTTTACAAAGGGTACGAAATGGGAGGAGATAGATAGATAGATAGATAGATAGATAGATAGATAGATAGATAGATAGATAGATAGATGTAGAGTAAGGAAGAGAGAAGGAAATGAACACAGATATAAAGATAGATAGAAAGAATCAGAATGACATAGATAGATAGATAGATAGATAGATAGATAGATAGATAGATAGATAGATATGAACAGACTGAGATAGATAGATAGATAGATAGATAGATAGATAGATAGATAGATAGATAGAAGGAAATGAGCACGGACAGAAAGATAGATAGAAAGAAAGAAGCAGAATGAGATAGATAGATAGATAGATAGATAGATAGGAAATGAAAAGAGATAGATAGATAGATAGATAGATAGATAGATAGATAGATAGATAGATAGATAGATAGAATGAATGTAGAGTAAGGAAGAGAGAAGGAAATGAACACAGATATAAAGATAGATAGAAAGAAAGAAAAAAAGAAAGAATCAGAATGACATAGATAGATAGATAGATAGATAGATAGATAGATAGATAGATAGATATGAACAGACTGAGATAGATAGATAGATAGATAGATAGATAGATAGATAGATAGAAGGAAATGAACACAGACAGAAAGATAGATAGAAAGAAAGAAGCAGAATGAGATAGATAGATAGATAGATAGATAGATAGATAGGAAGGAAATGAACAGAAATAGTAGATAGATTGGAAGAGAATGAGATAAATAGGAATAGAGTGAGATAGATAGATAGATAGATAGATAAATAGATAGATAGATAGATAGATAGATAGATAGATAGATAGGAATAGAATGAGATAGGTAGATATATACAGCATACACACGCACATATATCTATAGTAGCGGGAGAAAGAGAAACAAAGATATTGATAGACTGATACATATATATATATATATATATATATATATATATATATATATATATATATATATATGAAAATAAATGAGATAGATATAAAGAGGTTAAAAGAAAACAAAAAACATTTATATATATATAATATGCGTGTGCGTGTGTGTGTGTGTGTGTGTAGGTTAATCAAAAAGACGTAGATGTTCTCAAGA